TCTTCACAATAGGTTAGTGTTCAAACTAAAAGAAACTGGTCTAGATCAGCATTTCCCAATTGGTGTTCCGCGGAACCCTAGGAAACCATGGAGAGTCTAAGCCATTACAGTAGACCAGCGTTTCCCAACTGGTGTTCAGCGTAATTGGGGTTTCGCTGCATTTTGCCACATCCAAGATGGCCGCTGCTACCTGCTGTTCCTGGAAGGTCGGAAACAGCAGAGATTGCGATCTTAAGCCCGTCCTGCCTTCAGCACGCCATGCCGTCAGAGCCTGCCCTGCTATCATCCAGCCACTTAGACTTAGCTCGTCCATGAGAGAGCCTGCCCAGCTGTCAGCCAGCTCACCCTGCCATTTACTATCACTCGTGGTATAGGAGTGATAGAGAGTGGAGCTGATCCTTAAAGCTCTGTTATTGTTATAGATGGAAATCTCTGTTAGGTAGGGACATAGAAAGCTCTATTAGGTAGGGACATTGAAATTCTTTGCTAGGGACATTAAAAGGCTCTGTCAGGGGCATTGATTGCAATTCTCTACTAGGGACATTAAAAGGCTCTGCTAGGGACATTAAAAGGCTCTGTAAGGGGCATTGAAAGACTCTGAGGTGCATTGAATGACTGTGAGGGGCTAAAAACTGTTAACTGTGTTTTCAAAGTGTTTAAATCTTTTTGCTCCAAGTCTAACTGAAAAATCTTGCTTAAGTTCAGTTATTTCTAAGAGTGTTATCAAAATCAGCATCCTTTTCAGTAAGGCTGTGAGATCTGTATTTTTCAAAAAGTGTTTTTTTTGTTTTTTTTCTTACCAATAAACAACCATGAATTTGGAAAGCTGGTTAAAGCAGGGAACTCTTCAGAGAAAAATTATTACTACTTCTTGCTGTTCGGCACTTATAGAAACTGAGAAAGAAGATACAACAAAAAAATCAAGAAAACATGCCTGAAATAGTTATATGTGCTGTTCCTCAAATAGCAGAGACAAGTGACAAGTCCAAGAAAAAAAGCACACAATGCTAGCCAATCTTCTTCTCAAACAAAGAAAAGAAAATATGATGATAAAGACAGGAGTTTCAGAAGAGTAAACAATTTATGAGCAAAAAAATTCAAAATGCTAATGAAAAAGCCACAGAGTCTTCTTACAGAGTGAGTTACTGCATAGCACTTGCAGTAGAAGCACACACAATTGGGGGAATCACTAATAAAACCATGTGCAAAAGAAATAGTGTCATGTATTTTAAGTGAGAAGTTGAGTAAAAAAATTGAAGCTGTGCCACTTTCCAACGACACAGTTTTGCTGCAGAGGTATTTAGATAGATTGTGGGACTGGCCACTAAATTGGCAGGTGAAATTTAATGTAGAGAAATGCCAAGTTATGCACTTCGGGGTAAAGAATGCACAAGCAACTTACACCCTAAATAGTAGTGAATTAGGGATAACAATACACGGGAAGGATTTAGGAATTGTTATAGACAACAAATTAGGCTGCAATATGCAATGTCAATCATATATAAATAGGGCCCATGGGCATCCGCAGGAATTTTTCCAGGGGAGGGCATAGTTGTAATGACATCCATGCTTGGCCCCTTTTTGACAGTGGCATGAAGGGGAGGAGCATAGTCATTATCAAATAATGCCAGGGTGAATAGCGTTTTCACAACTATGATGTCAGGAATATATGTTTGTATTCCTGACACTATAGTGTTCCTTTAAGCAAATTAAAGGAGCATTCTGGTCACCATAACAACTTCATCTAAATGAAAATGCTTTGATGCCAGGAGGCCCCTGGGAACTCTCTTTCCTTTAAGGGGTTAAACCACTCTCAAATGGTTTAACCCCAAAGGCTTCCTACAGCTCCAGATCTCCATGTCGCTCAGTGGTATTCGGCTTCTGAAACGGAGTGTCAGGGAGTGCAGATTGACGTATGGCATGGGTGCCGCTGATTGGCTAGAGTGGTCAGCTGACGCTCTAAGCCAATTGCTAGTTCCCGATTCATAACATTTTTTATGTTTTTATGAATGGGGAGCTATTGATTGGCTTAGAGTGCCAGCTGACTGTTGTAGCCAATCAGCAGCACCCCAACCTAGCGGCCCTCTGTAAATAAAAGTGAACACATCAACACTGATATTTTTTTGTACCTGGGGAAATGAGAAGGTCCAAAATTTCCTGCCAGGCCCAGGTTCAAAAGCCTTATGATGTGGTGTTCAGAATGAAGTGGTGGGGATCACTTCACTTGTCCTTCCTGCTCCAATCTCATTTTCTTCTCCATTTGACACAGTCTTTTTCTTCTGACACGGTCTTCTCTCCTCCTTGGCTCCTTTACCTTTCTGCTTATTTTGCGCCCTTCTGCTCCTTTCTCTTTCTGATCCCTTTCTGCTCCTTGCAGACCCTTCCTTCTCTTTGCAGGCCCTTCCTGCTCCTTGCTGCCCCTTCCTGCTTCTTGCAGACCCTTCCTGCTCCTTGCAGACCCTTCCTGCTCATTTCTGTTCCTTTTCCTACTTTACCTTTGTGCTCTTTCTGCCCCTTCCAGATAATTGTTGACCCTTTATGTTCCTTGATTTCCCTTTCTGCTCATTGCAGACCCTTCCTCCCTCTTGCTGCCCCTTCCAGCTCCTTGCTGACCCTTTCTGTTCCATGTAGTCCCTTTCTGTTCATCCTACTTTACCTTTGTGCTCTTTCTGATTCTTTCTGCTCCTTGCTGCCCTTTCCTGCTCCTTGCAGACCCCTCCTGCCCCTTGCAGAACCCTCCTGCCCCTTGCAGAACCCTCCTGCCCCTTGCTGACCCTTTCTGCTCCTTGCAGACCCTTCCTCCTCCTTCTACATCACCCTCCTGCTCCTTGCAAACCTTTCCTACCCCTTCCTGCTTCTTGCTGCCCCTTCCGCTCTTCCTATTCCTTGCTAATCCCCTCTGCCCCTTGCAGAACCTTTCTGCTCATTCTACTTTACCTTCCTGTAGGCTGTCTCCCCCCCATCCCTCATTTACCTGATCTGTAGGCTGCCCTCCTCCCCCCACCCCACATGCTTGCTGGCTGCACTCTGTGCTGCTCCCCTGCGGATGCAGTAAGGAGAAAAAAGCAGGGATAAGCTGTAGCTTCCTATCCCTGCCTTTCTCCACCTACTGGCCAGCGCCGGTATTACAGTTTATTATCACACAAACGAAAAATAGCAGCACAAGCTGAAAAATCCAGGAGAGGGCAAGTGCCCCCCCTTTGCGGAGGCCCACGATAGGGTCATAAATTCTCGGGATGAAAATATAAATTTGCCTCTTTATAAATCGCTGGTAAGACCACACCTTGAATATGCTGTGCAATTTTGGGCACCTTTTCTAAAGAAGGATATTATGGCACTAGAAAAAGAGCAGAGACAGTCTACAAAATTGATAAAAGGAATGAAGCATTTTAGTTATGAAGAAAGGTTAAAAAAAGTAAATATCTTTAGTTTGGAAAAAATGTCGCCTTACAGGGGATATGATAACAATATACAAATATATATGGGGCCAGGAAAAAACATTGTCTGGAAATCTATTCATAAACAGAGCTATACATAGGACACAAGGTCACGCATTTAGGCTGGAAGAAAGGAGATTTAGTCTAAGGCAAAGCAAAGTGTTTTTTTGTTTACAGTAAGGATGTGAAATTCTTTGCCTGAAGGGGTTGTTTTATCAGAGTCCTTACAAATGTTTAAACCGCAATTGAATAAATACTTGCAAAAACATAATATACAGGGTTATAATTTCTAATTAGTGGGGTAATAGCTTCTTGATCCAAGGATATATCTGACTGCCATTTTGGGATCAAGAAAGATTTTTTCCCTATGCTGTTGCAAAATTGGAGGTGCTTCAGACTGAGTTTTTTGCCTTCTTTTTGATCAACAGCAAAAACACATGAGAAAGGCTGAGCTTGATGGATGCAAGTCTCTTTTCGGCTATGTAACTATGTATGTAATTATATCAGCATTTATAACCATACTTGAAAGAGAAAATGTGTTAGTGGGAGATACTGTATAACACCAATATACTTGCAGACCTATCCTATGCCAAGTGGCAAAACAATCAAGCAAGATTAGTGACTTGGGAACCTAACTATTTGCCAAGTGGCGATGAGACCTTTGCTTTGGCCCATTGGGTAGGTTTGCCACCAAGCATTGTGGCGGGGTGTTGGCTTCTCACTGAAGATTAAAGAGATTCAAAATAAGTTGGCTGTTACAGGTGAGGCCCTAACTACTTTTGCCAAGAGGGCAGAGATGCGAGGTAGTAACTATGATTTGGCCCGAGGGGCTAATACCTCCGTAGTTGAGGATGGGAGTTGCCCTTGCGGGACAGCTATATAATGGCAAAGGAAGCCCATAACTACCTGTGGCCACTTAGAGTACCCTAACAGTCAGACCAAGCTAAAGAGAAGTTCTGTAGAGCGAGCAATTATTGTCAGAAGTGAGGTAGTAAAGCGAGTCACTTTGTGGTGACTTGAAAAACATAAATGCAAAACAATAAATGTGGCATGATTAGTCATACATCTGTCAGATAAATGAAAGCTATGCTAGAAGTTGATGGTAGGAATAGTTGAATAGAAAGTGGAGGGCAAAAGAAAATGTGTATAGAAATCTGTTATCAAACAAAAAAAATAAAAAGGAGGTGGCTAGAATAATTGAACAACATGACCTTGAGGCATAGGCGAGCGCACAGTGTGTGCCGGGTATGCCTGGGCATACCCTAATCCTCGCGGCCCGCGCGGTGTGCCTCCATGAGCCGGTGAGGGAGATCAACGCTCTGATCTCACGAGAGTGAACTCTAGCCCTGCAGGCTAGAGTTCACTCACACTAGGGCCACCAGGGATCAGGGATTGCAGCAAAGAACCCCCTCCCAGCCAAAAGGTAAGAAGGGAGGGGGGCTATTTCCTAATCTGTCCTCCTACCACCACACACAATCCCTCCAAACAAATTCACACACACAGCACCCTTACATACACACAGCACACTACCAGCACCCTCACACACACACACACACACACACACACACACACAGCAGTGTATGTATGTGTTTGTATATATAATATATATATATATATATATATATATATATATATACACACACACACATATATATATATATATACACACACATATACACACTGCGTGTGTGTTTGTGCTTTATGCAATAGGCCGCGCACGCCTATGAGGTGAGGGTACAAATCACAAATTATCGAGTTGAGGAAAACCAGCTGCAAGGTTGGAGCAAATAGGCATTTTGACAGAAAGGCATAGTATAAAACATAACAATGCAGACATGGAGTAACTGAAAATTAACAGATTACATCGAAAACTGATGCCTGATTGTACTTAATCTAGGCATCAGTTCCCATTGTACGTCGTTCCACTAGAAGGACCTGAAGTGTGTATGAGAGCAAACACCCTGAAAAATAACCAACCATCACATCTAATCCAATCCCTTAGCGTACTGCATGAAGCAAAATACCATAACTAGCAAGTGCCTAAAAGTGGAGGTGAGGATTATACTAAAACAGTTAAAATAGTGACAAATTGAAGAGGCCTGGATTAGTTTAATACATAGTAGTAGTAGGTTCTAGGGAGTGTGCCGAGAGAGGGCTGTATGGTAAAGACCTGCATGGTATGAAAGGTTGTATTTTTTGACCGTTGTATATCAGGAAATTGATGCATGTAATTGCCCAAATGATGGGCTGAAGTTGTTGTAGTGCTTGCCCGTGGAGGGTCATGTGTAAAAAGTTGGAGTGAAGGTCTAGTGAAGGCTGTGTGTAGAGATATTGTAGCAGAAGGCAGAGTGCTCAATGTCAGGAATAGAGAAATAAGGCTGTATGAGGGGTGCGGATGTATGGAACGAACAAAAGAAGGGTAAGCGTAGCAAGGTGTAGGAGTTGTGAAATGGCCCACAGTGATGCCCTTGTGTTTTGTCCAGTCCATTTGTAAAGGTAGGAAGAGTAGTTAGAAGGGTGGTAATGTGGCATGCAGTCTAGGCAGACTATGATGACCAGAATAGAACCAACACAATTGATGATATGGTGTCTCAATGTAAGTGACATGAGACATATAACGTTGCTAATACTGTGCAAGAACAGACACAATATGTGAAGTAAGGATACAAAGTATAAAATAAGGGATTAACGAACCAGGAACTTTTGCAGGCTGAGTTAGAGCTGTATTGGCTGGTTGGTAGAAGCCTTTGTCTTTTGGGGCACATCCACGACAGTGATTTTCACTTATTTTTTGTTTTAGGTAGTGGCGTATCCCTTCAAGTGCATACAGTATCACTATAGATCATACCGGATTGTAAGCAGTAGAAAATAGAAAATAACCCAGGAATAACCTAAAATATACACATTATGAAATGTTGTTAATTGCAGAAAAGTATTAAAGTAACTTTGTGGCAAATATGTGAGAAAACAGCACAACATTAGCGTGCCAGAATTAGTAAAGACCTAAATATGCAGGGATGGCTTAGTACTTAGTAAACATGCAATCAAAAAATCCCAATAACCGGGCACAAACAGGTTACAGTTAAAAAAAAGTACTTAAATTGCAGTCAGTTGCAACCTAGCCACATAATTACTAAACAGTGTAGGCATAAAGAGTGCCTGAATACCCAGAGGGCAGACAAAGAACACATTAAAATGTAGGGCGACTAACTGAAATGCATATGGTACAATGTTAGGAGTTTGAGGTTGTTTAATAAGAACATTTTAGACATTTAGAAGATGTGGCGAACTGCCTGGCACCCTGACTGGGTGCCTCCACTAATCAATGCTTCCTAGTATTCTCGAGTACTTCCAAGCACTTCACCAGACACCATAACCACCATCATCCCCGCAGCCAGCGTTACAGCTTTGTTGGGGTCTCGCTGTCCTCCACCCACCCTGGACCCAACACCGGGATCCAGCTTCCAGTGGGTAGACCTCTTCTAATCCAGAGAGTAAAATCAGTATGATCTTAAAAGAGCAAGTGATTATAATCCAAAGGAGTATAATGATTATAACAATCCCCAGAGTGAATATAGCTGTAACCCTCCGAGCATGAGACGAGGCTCTATGTTGAGGGTGAAGGAGAACTGATTTATTGGCAGCCACAACTGGCCTTACATGCAGGTCTCCATGCAAGGGGTTTTCCATTACATGTTCCAGGTGCATTCCCCACTGGACGTGAGAGGGGGCTATGACAAGTTACACACTTTATTTATATTGGCTCTCAGATCCAGGACACACCCACACAAAACAGGGTAATCCCTCCCCTGTGCCTGGGACTGTCCTAAACTCTATCTCCAGAAAACATACATTTAAACAACATCCCAAAAGTACCCCCAAAACACATGGAAACTCTACAACAGTCACATACCCTAATAGCCCCGATCTGGGTGACCAACATATCCAGAAATTACCCAGACCGGTTCAGGGGTTCAGGATTTTCATGGAAGTCATAATTTGATGGCAGGGCACACAAGGCTCCTGCCCAAAACAGTTCCATAGAATTAGGCTGTGCAGGCAGTCTCCTTTGGGGGTCCATACGAACAGCAGCCACCTAGCTGACCGCTTGGAACGTTGCGCTTAAGGTGTTGATAGGGGTCAAGAGTCAACAAGCAGCACACGACTCTCCCGGGTAATCCAACTGTTCAGGAGTTAGTTCGGTATACGAACAGTACAAGTTCAATCCGTTCGTTACATTTCATATACCAAACCTGGTTGAGTTAAAAGGCGCAAACAAAGTCTTTTAACAGTCCTGAACCAGAGGCCATAGTCCTGAGGTAGGAGGCTGGCAAGCAGGCTCCTCCAAGAGCCCATGGCGAAGTTATTTTTGCCACAGATGATATTCCCCTTTAGAGAGGATAAGTAATTTTTAAGTTTATTACATACAGAGAATGTATATACAATATTATATTTCTATTTCCTCGACCACATGTATAGTTTGGGCCTGACACATTTATTGCAACACCTAGTCACATAATTACTAAACAATGAGGGCCGGAATACCCAGAGGGCAGACAAAGAAATGTAGTGTGACAAATTGAATTGCATATGATAAAAGTCGATATAGCCTAGTGAGGGGCAAATACAGTAAGCAGAACGAGGCATCGCTGTGATTCTATGTACGATCGAAATAGGCTGAATTTGCGTTAGTAGTGAAATTCCGAATATCCGCAAGTCTGAACAAACAAACTTATGGTTTTGTTGAGCATCACACTTCAAGCATCGCATGCAGTTATAGGTACTCATAGAAACCCACTGTACAAAATTCTCAAAATCTAGTAACTTTGGTGGGAAACATTTGCCCATATATAACTATGGGCAACTCTAAACTGAAGGCACGCGGGAACAGACACATACGGCCCAAGGCATATTCATGAAAGATAACTTCTGATCCCTATCTCAATACCAGAACGTAACTACAACCCTTAAGCGGTGCACCAGGCAGATATGAATAGAATTATCATATCACTGGTTGATCACGATATACTAACCAGCATATACAGCCGACCCATAGGTTGGCACCCTACGAGCAGTGCACCCTTAATTACACTACTTTGTACTTCTTTACTATGAGTTGACAAAGACTTCATGACCCACGGAGTGATCATTGCACTGTGTCTATTGATATCTCAGGATATTTTATATAAATGTTATATTGTTTATGTTATACTATTTACTTTGGTTTACTGCTTGCCCATACCGCATTGGATCTTAAGCTGACAACGCACTACAAATATCCACTAGAGACAAACCACTTGGGTAATTAGTCGTGAAAGACATTTAGTCTTAAGGGTAATTAGTCATGAAAGACATTTCAAGATTGGGATCCTTCCTTCAGGAGACCCACCTTAGAGGTTAAACGGGCCCAAACTTTTTCGTAACAAATTCCCAACGGTTTTCTACAATAACTATGCCATAAGCAAATGCAGAGGAGTGGCGATCCGGATAGATTTTCACGTCCCATTCACATACTCAGACAAATTCATAGACGGATCAGGTCAATTCACTATGCTGATAGGTCTTATAGGTTCGATCCCAGTCACACTAGTAAATATATTCTCACCAAATAAACACCAATGCGCCTCACTCAGGAAAATATTGGCACTAGTGCAAAAACATGCTAAAGAGGAACTGATGATAGGGGGAGACCTTAATAAATCACTAGATGCTGGGAGAGATAGCACATTGCTGGCGCATCCTCCACCTGTCAGCAAGGAATTATACTTACTTTTCGAAACCCAATAATACATATATAAGAGGAGACATGTTATGTACATCACACCACACACTCAGTATGGTTGACATTGGCTACATTACATGGTCAGACCATGCTCTGGTCTCCATTTCCATTAAAATCCCATCCCTTCCCCAAAAACAAAACTTATGGAGACAAAATTCGCAGATATTATAAGGACAATACCGTACGACTAATTTCCCACCGGATAACACAATAATTTGCTGAAAATGACACACCTGACGTAGACCCATTCATACAATGGGAAGCCCATATATCGGTAATGCAAGGAAGGGGGGAACACTTATTGAATAAGGATCATAACTTTTACAAAAACAAAACTTATGGAGACAAAATTCGCAGATATTATAAGGACAATACCGTACGACTAATTTCCCACCGGATAACACAATAATTTGCTGAAAATGACACACCTGACGTAGACCCATTCATACAATGGGAAGCCCATATATCGGTAATGCAAGGAAGGGGGGAACACTTATTGAATAAGGATCATAACTTTTACAAAAACAAAACTTATGGAGACAAAATTCGCAGATATTATAAGGACAATACCGTACGACTAATTTCCCACCGGATAACACAATAATTTGCTGAAAATGACACACCTGACGTAGACCCATTCATACAATGGGAAGCCCATATATCGGTAATACAAGGGAGGGGGAACACTTATTGAATACGGATCCTAACTTTTACAAAAACAAAACTTATGGAGACAAAATTCGCAGATATTATAAGGACAATACCGTACGACTAATTTCCCACCGGATAACACAATAATTTGCTGAAAATGACACACCTGACGTAGACCCATTCATACAATGGGAAGCCCATATATCGGTAATACAAGGGAGGGGGGAACACTTATTGAATACGGATCCTAACTTTTACAAAAAAAGGGAACGCAAAAAATTACTTGACAAAATAAATTAAATAGAAACTAATCACAAATCCTTCAAATTAGAGGTAGATTACAACACTTTAAAAGCATTAAGGTCAGACTTGAAGTCCCTACTGTGGATCATACAAACGTTCTTCTACCAAGGAGACAGATGCGCGAAAATGCTGGCTAACGCACTTAAAGAATGTCAACTACTAACCTACATTCCGAAAATTTAAACGAGTCCACACCACAGAACATACTGCTGAGAACTTTCGCTTATACTACGAATCGCTATACAACCTTGATAAAAACACATCCACCCACCAAGAGAAAACTGCATACATAACAAAAAACCTCTGCTCCATCCTGACTCATAATGTGACACATTCACTTGACGAACCATTTATGGATGACAAACTTCTGCTAGCTATGCTAACCACACCGCTAAATAAAAGCCCAGGCCCAGACGGATTCTCAAATTTTTACTACAGCACCTTTCTTTCTTTCTTTCTTTCGAGACGAGATTAAAACACATCTTCTAAAAGCCCTTAACTCAATATGTTCGACTAATATTCCCCCTTCGTCCAGCCTAGAGGCTATTATAACACTACTACCCAAACCAGGAACATTTTCCAATCCCTTCTAACGTGGTTCATCTGGGCCTGAGGAAAACCGAGAATAGCCTTCCATCATTTTACCAGACCAAAAGATAGAAGGGGGGCGGGATTACTCAATCCCTTGTTTTATTATCAGGCAGTACACTTGGGGCGCTGGATTGGTCTACTAAAGGTACCTCCAAACAGTCGATAGATGTGGAACAGTCATTTATTGAGACGCCCTCCAGGTCGCCCATTGGATAGGAGCCCGGCACCCTACGTTTGCAGTCCCCCCACACCTGAAGATAACCCAGATGATGCAGATATGGAAAAGATTGCTCACCTCAAAGATATCTCACCGGAAATATCGTCTAAATACCCCATATCACACAATTCACTGTTTTCAGTGGGACTTAAAAGGTATCCCTCACCTTAAAATGGGTTTGAATAAACATGTCACAATAGCACACATTTTGACCAAGGTAAGTTTAAAACCTATGAAAGATTTGCTGGCCGGTCATGGCCAATCAGATCCACAGAAGGGTTTGCTTTTGGGGTCAAAGGCCGGTTACAGCCAATCGGATGCACAGGAAGGGTATTTAAACCCAATTCTCCTTTTGCTCATTGCCCTGTCGTGGTTTCATCCTGATCGTAATCCGAGAGTGCGTTCCTGATCTTGATTTTCTGGTATTTGATTTTGGCTAAGTTTTGACTTCCCTGAATTCTGGTATCCTTGACTTTTGGCTTTCCCTTATCATTGTGTCTGAGTCTGGGTTCCTGACCCGGAAAATATTTTGACTATTCTTGGATATGTTAGGTCCGGCCTTTCTACGTTTACCTTAATCCTAGGTGTGACACAGTTCTGCGTTCTGGATCAACTTGTAATCCTGTCAGTATTACCATAACACGAGACATACCGTCTCTACTATAGATCTTCGGTAATGTACTTTCTGTCAGCAAGCAAACTAGTAGTAACAAACTTGTGGAGGTCTTCATCCCAACCCGCACATTAATCCAAAAGGTTGAATACTTTAGAACACTAAAGGAACTAAGGTGGTCTTCTATGGACCAAAATGACAGATATAAGTATATTTGGCAACCCTGGAATAACTTCATGATAACACATTAAATAGCTCGGGGGGAGGGATCCACAATCTTGATGGAACGGGAGGAGGTTACCCATACGTTTCTAACCTGCATAAGTTCCTAGCACAGTTTGCCCTTTCTACACCATTCACCCATAGACTCACATACTATGGCTGTCTTCAATAAAAAAACTATATATTAGATCCCTTCGTCCCTGATCCAGCAACTGGTGGATTAGAGGCTAGGGTAAAGAGGTCAGTGTGGGCTTGAACCCCAATATTTACACAAAAATTACAAAAGAAAAAATATTAATTGGGTAGCTCCCCCTTTAAAAAGAGAAGAGTGTGGGGGGGGGACTCCCAATCTACCTGGTAATTGAAAAAGAACACCAATTAATACAAAAATATACCTATAGAAATGTCCACGATTGAAAAAGTTACTACAGGGAAAGCCTATATGAATATAGAAGACACTGAATATACATGTATCCTAACATAAGCAGTAACAAACTGCAATTTATTGAACATACTGTAGAGAGTTTACCCTAACATAATTCACCTACAATGCACTATATTGAATACAGCCCCATGTGTGTTTGTGTGTGTGTATATATATATATATATATATATATACACACACACACACACACACACACACAGGGATGTATTCAATAAATAGTGCATTGTAGGTGAATTATTTAAAGTTTACAATCTCATCTTTCCATTAAAGCTATGTATTATGCAAGAACAGCTTGGTTCTAATGTACAACATGTTTATTGAATACAGCAGAGTATTTAATGATCCCAATTTCTTTTTAAAAATGGACATCTGCAAATATTTCCCCAAAATATAATTGGATGATCTTGAATCTGATAAGGAAGGAAGAGAAGAATCTGGACATCTGGTGAATGAGAGGCAGAACCAAGCACAAGCAGTTCTGCAGATCCAGATGCAGTGCCAACAGAACATAGCCATCTCGATGCTCCTGTAAATGATATCGGATTGTATCTGAATTCATCCAAAAAGCTAACAGATGATCTGAAATACAATCTGTTAATACATACATACACACCGCCAGAAAATTATGACTTTAAAAAGGATTCTAGTGGACCACTCTGTTTCCTTTGGGTGTGGTTAAGTCAAGCTTAGCTACTCTCCACAACTAAAAGGTGCTATTTGCAAATATTGCACAGTCTTTCCTCAGCCAGTACATAGTGGGACACAAGGAGCTTTCATAACGACACCTTTCACCAAATATAAAGATTTGCATGAAAGTGCACGCAACCATATCTCAACATCATGGCATAAAAATACCCGTGTGAATGCAAATCACTTTCTGGAGATCAGAAAGAAACCGGAAACAAGTATTGTTTGCCAAATAGACAGCGCTGTGAAGCGTCAAGTTGAAGAAAACTGAAGAAAGTTATTTCCAATTCTATCCACTATCTTATTTTGTGGCACTCATGACATAGCTTTGCGTGGGAAAAAAAGTACAAGCGGAAATGTTCAAAGTCTTTATCAATTTCGCATTGAAGCAGGAGATGTAGTCCTAAAGAACCATCTGGTGAATGCCCCATTTAACGCATGGTACACATCAGTTCGAGTTGGAAATGAATTGATTGCCTTGTACAAAGAAACTTTAAGAGAGGATCTGGTAAACTAGTCAATAGGTCAAATGGGTTTTCAGTCATTGCTGATGAAAGTGCTGACATATCTGGAAAAGAACAGATGTCAATTGGAGTACGTTTTGTAGACACTAGTAGCACTGTAGCTGTCATCAAAGAAGAATCCTTTGGATTTGCAACCTTAAAAGAAATGGATGATACCTCAATTGAAAATATGATTATGGACTCCTGTTCTAAATTTGGATTAAACTTAGAAAAATTCCATGGCAAAGGATATGATGGATGCACTACAATGGCAGGGAAGGAAGGTGGCGTTAAAGCCATAATAAAAAGAAAATACCCTAAAGCTACTTTTGTTCACTGTGCTGCACATAAATTGAATTTGGCTGTGAATGACCTGAATGCTGTTCCTGATATACGGAATTCTGTTGGCACAGTGAAGGCCATAATCAAGTATTTCCGTGAGAGTCCAAAAAGAAGATCTTATTCCCAATGTGCCATTGCTGAGTGAAACACCCTGGACAGCGAAATATAAGAGCATTAGAATTTTTAGCTCTAACTTTGAAAACATTTTTTCAACAATTAAGCTTCCAGGTCACTACAGCATCTGGCAAAATATGTCAGGACGCACATCAATTGCAATGTTCTTCAAGCACAGTGAGGTTCCTCTTTTGCTTGAATATCATTGCAAACTACTCTTTGAGATTGGAATCCGTAAGCCAGGCTCTCCAAGCTGTTCAGCTTGATATTCTCCAGGTCTGTGATCACGTGCAAGACCTTCTGACTGTGTTCCATGAAGATAGAGAAAAAGCAGAAGAGCAATTCAAGGAAATATTTTCAAGTGTTCAAAGAATGGCAGAAATCTTGAACATCAAACTTTCTGTTCCCAGACTGTGTGGTCGACAAGTATTTTGTTCTAATTTTAGTTGCTCTTCAGTGGAAGAATACTATCGACAATCCATCTTTGTGCCATACATGGACTCTATTATTTCAGCATTAGAAAATCGCTTTGGCAGTGATAGTAAGAAAAATTTCAGTCTGTTTTCACTGTACCAAAAACAAATGGCAAAAATGACACTTGAGTAATACAAATGCTGAAGCAATCACGTGGTATGAGATCTGGTCAACAAAGGTAGAACAGTTTGATAATGGATTTTTAGATTTGCTAAACCACACAGATTTATTTTCATCAGTCCGGCAAGCAATTCTTGTTGCTCTCACTTTACCAGTGACCACTTGTACAGTGGAACGGTCATTCAGCACAATGATAAGGGTGAAAACCTGGTTGAGGTCGACCATGGCAGATGATCGCTTATCGGGTTTGTGCATGATGAGCATACATTGAGCAAAAATTGAAGAAAACAAACAGCAGCTGATTATGGCAAAGTAATTGATAAATTTGCACAAGACCACAGGCGTTTGCAGTTCCTTTTTCGAGATCACTAACCAGTGAACAAAAACTGTTAAAAGCTACTGCAAATGCAAACATTGTGATTGGCTTTTGATCAACATGTTTGATGATGTCAGCCAGGCAGGCAGATCAGAGGCAGAGCCAGTAGCAGCCGACTGTAATAAAGTTAAGATTTTACTATATTAAGGGCTTAGCAGGGGGACTAGAGGATGTTTTTAACACTATAGGTTCAGGAATACATATTTGTGTTCCTGACCCTATAATGTTCCTTTAAATTTGAGCGTAGATGTTTACAGAACCTAATCTACAACCGTTATTCTATTAAAGTTTGTTTTATTTTCCAATTTGGAAGACAACAGTTATCTCCAGTCCAGTCACGTTCATCCTAAAGGTGTTCGATGGGGTTGAAGTCAGGGCTCTAAGTGGGCCAGTCATGTTCTTCCACACCAAAACCATCTAATCATATGCTTGAGAACCTTGCTTTGTGCACTGGGGCACAGTCATGCTAGGTAAAGGGAAAACACATGGTTGGAAGCATAGCATTTTCCAAAATGTCTTGGTATGCTGAAGCATTAAAATTTACCTCCAATAGAAGTAAGAGGCCTAGCCCAACCCCTGAAAAACAGCCACATATCAGTATCCCTCCTCCATCAAAATTTACAGTTGGCACAATGCAGTCAGGGAAGTAACGTTCTTCTTGCATCTGTCACACCTAGACCCACCCATCAGACTGCCAAATGGAGATGTGCATGCACTGTGTATATGTATATATAATTAGTATATTTAATGTTTATTTTAATACATTTCAAAATAAATACAGTTGTCATGTATTTTAGTTGTCATTTTGTGTTTATGTTAACACCAAATGCCGATTCTACAATTTTTATTTGGTTATAGTGCCTTGATCATGGGTGATGACTAATGTGGTGTATTGAATAATGTTTACATTAAAGGGACACTATAGTCAGTTACTCACTAGAACAACTACAGCTTATAATATTAGTTCCGGTGAGTATAATCAGCTCCTTCAAGTTTTTTGCAGTAAACCCTGTGTTTTCAGAGAAAATGCAGTGTTTACATTACTGCCTAGGGATACATCCACTGGCCACCAGGGCCGGATTAACATAGGGGCTGATGGAGCTGCAGCTCCAGGCCCAGGCCCATGGAATAGGCCCATTATAAAAAAAAAAAAATGTAATTTTTTTTTTTTTTACACACTACTCTTAGGTTTGCCACCTGACTGGTATTTTAATGGCACAGATGGTATTTGAGGCTGCCTGGCCGTGCTGGTATTGCAGTAATACCGGCAATACAAATGCAGGTAATTTTCTCAGAATAAATGGAAATTACTCTGCAATACCAGCACCGGCCAGTAGGGGGTCACTGTGTGTGGAGAGAGGCAGGGATAGGAAATTACAGAATATCCCTGCCTCTCTCTACTACTCACTGATCCGTGGGGGAGCAGCAACACAGCACAGAGAGTACATACAACAGCTCTACAGCTCAGGTAAGTGAGGGATGGGGGAAAGGCAGCAGGGACACATGGGGACACTGAGACACTAGGGGACACATGGGGACACTGAGACACTAGGGGACACATTGGGGACACTGAGACACTAGGGGACACATACACTAGGGGACACTGAGACACTAGGGGACACATGGGGACCCTTAGACACTAGGGGACACATACACTAGGGGACACTGAGACACTAGGACACAGACACTGGGAGACTCTTGGGGACACTGGAAAACATGGGGACACGGAGACACTTGGGGACATATGGGAACACAGACACTAGGGGACACAGACACTAGGGGACACATGGGGACACTGTCACTAGGGGACACAGACACTGGGAGACCTGGGGACACAGACACTAGGGGACACTGAGACACATGGGGACGGTGTGAGTCATAGGGACATTGGGAGACATTGGGACATGTCCCACAGCCAGTGTCCCTAGTGTCTCAGTGTCCCCAAGTCTTCCAGTGTCTGTGTCCCATGTCTCTCAGTGTGCCTAGTGTCCCCATGTGTATGTCCATAACTGTCCCCATGTCTCCCCAAGTGTCTGTCTCCCAGCCAGTGTCCCCTAGTCTCCCAGTGTCCCCTAGTCTTCCAGTGTCTGTGTCCCTACTGTCTTAGTGTCCCCAAATGTTTCAGTGTCTCCATGTCTCCTAGTGTGTTCCTAGTGTCTCAGTGTGCCTGGTGTCCCCATGTCTCCCAGTGTCCCTATATGTCCAAGTGTCCACATGTCTATGTCCACAACTGTCCCCATGTCTCCCAGTGTCCCCAAGTGTCTGTCTCCCAGCCAGTGTCCCCTGGTCTCCCAGTGTCCCCTAGTCTCCCAGTGTCTGTGTTCCCATGTCTGTGTCCCTAGTGTCTTAGTGTCCCCAAATGTTTCAGTGTCCCCATGTCTCCCAGTGTCTGTGTCCCTAGTGTCTCAGTGTCCCCATTTCTCCCAGTTTCCCTAAATGTCTCAGTGTCCCCGGGTCTCAGTGTCCCTGGGTCTCTCAGTGTCCCCAGTATCCTAGTGACATGGGGACACACTGAGACATTGGGACACTGGGAGAAATGGGGACACAGACAGTGGGAGACTAGGGGACTGGGCGACATGGGG